TCATGTTTATCGAATAAGAATGAAGGGCTCACTTTTGCAGCGAGTTTAATATCAATCTCGGACTTGTCGTAAGTCCAAGAGCCGAGAACCAAAGAGCATTCATGCTCATCGACCGGGAAATTTGCCAAATTGAGTTTGCACGTTGATTTGAAGGCTACATTTGGGACCCAGAGAACTGTTCCATTGCTGTCGATCAGAACCAATTTTTCTTCCGCCTTTGTAGCAAATGTGAACGAGGGAAGCCTGCAGCATGAAAACGATGAAAATTTGAGCTTGCGAAATAATTGATAATCATTCTAAGAATATTCTGGATTATTATTCAAAATTGAACATTTATAATGTATGCTGAGAAATTAATCAGCGCCACGAATCTGATTTTCAACATATATACAGCGCATCTCCGAAAGAAATCCTCGGAAGTATTAACATATAGTTCAAAATTTACTGATCGAAATTTATTTGTTTTTCTGGAATATTTGATGCCGTATTTGAGTTCAAATTTAAAGAATAGGAATGAGCTCAAAAAATCGAGTTTAGAGTTTATTTTCTTGAGGAAATGTATAATTTTCTATAAAAAAAAACTTAAACCTGGAACAGTGCATTGAAAACACAACTCTTGATATTTTTATCAAGAAAAATATCCCTCACGTCAAAGTTGTTGTGAAAAAAGCACCAAAAAACTTCATAAGAATTCAAACCCAACAGACGTATTTTTTCTCTCTCGAAAGCTCACCTTAGTTTTTGCATGAACACAGGTAGTGACATTTTTTCTGAATTTTCTGGATTTATTAAGGATTGACTATAATCCGATTTAATTCAGATCCCATTCCAAAAAAAGGTAAAAATGTATTCTTAAAATATTATGCAAACCCAAAACCAATTTTAGGTTGTATCTCCGCATTCCCTTTACACATCAAGAAAATATAAGTGAAACGTATACGAAAGCTCGTATAGGATTCATAATTTTCCTCACACGAAAAACTTTATGAGCTTTATAAAATCCAGTTGTCTGCCGTTATATCCCCATAATAATTTATAATTTCATCTGAATCTGTCCGAAAAATCTGACTGCAAAAAGTATGCACTGCTTCGGTTCCGTGATGCTGTGTGTGTGTTTTTTTTTCAATACTCTAAGAACAAAAATATATTTTGTGACGTCATATTACTCGTTTTGAAGGGATGCGTCGGGCACCCAGATTGAAGTTGGCGGAACACGAAGGATTTTGATTCCCGAGAAATCCTCAGGAGACCATTGCAAACGTTCATCAGTCCATTGCTGCAAGAAACAGAAAAATAATCGCATCCGTATTTTTTCAATAATTCAAAACTACGAAAATAAAATTGAAAACGGAGCAAACATCTCATAATTGAACGCAATTTACCAGTGACAGGAACGCGTTCGCATGAAGCGCTGAATGCCATTCTTCCTGAAAAAAAAATCCAGGAAATCAGTGCACTGTTCAGTCGTAAAAATAAAACAATTGAGATAATACAGTAATACAAAATTCTACTCTTACAATTCGTAGAGTGGTTATGTACATCCCGATTTCCAACGGAACTGCTGTCGAAGGACTTCCTGGTCGCGCATCAGCGTCGTAACCATTCAGCAAAGCTGCCTTCAACTTTGTGTAAGTATCTTTTTTTTATACGGAAAGAAAATTCTTACGTTGATTAAAAAGAAATCCAAAGATAAAAAAAATGTATATCGCTTACCATCTCCTCGTGTCCCTGCACAAAATACTAGTGCAAGAACCGCGAACAAAACGAACCGAGTCTTCATGGTACGTGTTGAACTCTTGACTGAACTTCACGATGTTCCGGCACCTTCTCAATAATTTATTTTCCCCCAGGAAAAGATTCAGATATTAAAAATAAATAAAAAGTTTACCAAACATTCAACCTTATGATAATTAAATTTAGCAGAGATTTGATGATGCGANTTTGAAGTATAAATTCTGAGCTGTTTGGGCCATCACTCTGAGAAGAAAAATGGGAAAAAAATTTGGAATGTAATCTTGAATGATTTAAAATTTTATGATATATGCAGTGCATCCATATAGGATCAACACGAGTAATTAAGTTGAATTTTAAGCGTTGTTAAGGTGAACTTGTCTCAGCTAAACGCGCCCTTCCGGTAACTTATCAAGAAGCAGTTCAACCATAGCTAACATTTTTCGTTCTTTTAACATATTTTTTGTGGTTGTCGAAGAACTTTTTTCAAAATTACCCGTTTTTTTTAAACGGGAAGGTGATGAAAATAGTTAACCCGGGCTGCATAATTAGTTTTTCTCCTCCATATATCAACTCTTTGGTGATTAAATTTGCATCCACAAAATCGTATGCAGTCAAAAATTCCCCATTCTTGATAATCAAAGAAAAACAATAAAGACTGCAAATTATTCAAACTTCAGAAACATTGTTATATTCATTCATTCGACCTTATTGAGGACTCACTTATTTCCTCTCTGTTTCTGAGTTGTTTTCTGCGCTCCTTGTTGATAAGGCTGTCCGCCATTCTTGCTGTTGAATTGCTTAAAATTTTCGTCCACGTAATCATCAATTGCAAAAATGGGCGAATCCGCTTCGGGATAATTAAATGCCGTGCTCTGATTTTCCGTCCCTTCGGCCACGGCGTCGGTGTCAGCAAAGCCGAAAAAAGACGAGAAAATACCGTCCGATCTTCTGGCCAAACCAAAAATTCCAGGGAAAGCTGAAAAAAAGAGAATCGATTGACTTTTATGCACCAAATTTATTTCGAGCCTCATGTCCCATTATCAAAGGTAGAAATGGCCCGAGAACATTAGATGATTCGCCGTCGCGTTCTTCACGAAGAATCAAATTTAAATACATGTATTTATAACCATTTAGGAGGAATGTTCTCGAGAACAAACGCACCTGGCTAAGATGGAATACTGTACAGTACTATCAAAAATAAAAAATAAAATATACCCGTTAAAAAGGAGGGGATGTCCAGAAATCCTGCAAAATCTACATATTACTCGGATTTATACGAAATAAATGAATGAAAAAATGTTGCATAGCATATAGGATGGCAGAATTATGAAAATATAAACTAGACCAAAACAGATTTTTATGCAAAATGAACGCGAGCTTTTTTTCATCTACGAAAGTCCCCATTTATCTGTAAGATGTTGCAATTCAGCTTCTCAAGAAATAAAACACACTTTGAGGCCGCCGGAATATTTTATAATCAATGGATCCGTTATTATTGTCACTACGGTATCTCTATTGCGAAGATATATTGACGAGAGATATTTATTCAAACACAACGAGTGCTATTCCCTGGGCAACCATTTTATATATGTGCTTATATTATATCACAAAAATGTATTTTAAAATTAGAATATGATTTGTTCAACTGGCCGTGAGCAGCTAATAATGATATATTTTGTCTATATCGTGAAATATAAAGTGAATTTATCATAGGAATCCTCAACTCTTGAAGTCTATACGTTCAATCCTGACGAAGAGTTGTTCTGTCGGCGGAATAAAATCTGTGGCTCTTGCAATGCTGAAGCAATTTTATTGTTATGCGGTATTTCGGAATACAACTTTATCTTGAAAAAGATGTTTGAATAATTCCAATTAAAAACGCACTTCTGCTCTCATTCTGGAAAGCAAACATGCGTAAGGCGTTTTTTTAGAAGTGCTGCGCTAGATCTGACGCCGCAAAACCATTCTAAAATCATTAAATATTTCGGTATCCATTAATTTCTGACTAACTTAACTATATGTCCGTTTGAAATAAAGCATTCGTTGTTTAGTATTTATATTAATCATCAGTCCCTTGACATATGTTAAAAAATGGTAGCAAATGAACAGAACTATGGCAGCATCAACGTCGATATTTTAAATGAAGATTTACTGTTACGATCAGGACCACCCTCACGATCAGAACCAGGTCAATTTTCTTAGCTTTCTCCGAAAACACGAATTATCAACCTCTTTCTGCCGGGAAAAAGAGTGCCTGTGCACACTTTTGCACAATGACAGAAAATAATAAAAAAAAAATTGCACGCTTGTTATTCTACGGTTAACCCGACAAAAGCTGACCAATTTTCCAACAGCTAGCCATGAAACCAGACGTTCAGAATATAATTCAAGATATCACGTTATTATATTGCTTCTAGGGATTTTTCTGCATCTAATCGTTTGGGAAAGCATTTCCGTTTATTTGCGAATACGAGTATATAAATACGCAAAACTGGGACACGGAAAGCTGCCTATATATAGCCGCCACGGGAATAAAATACGGGTTAGAATTGAATTGAATGACAAATTGTGAATTCATGTTATTTGAAATGTATATGCTTATTTCTGCACATTTTAAGCTTGAAACAAAAATTCAGAATCCCACTATATTTCAATGTGTCGATCCATTCAAGGAAATATGCGTAGTCTGCATCAAATGTAGGAGAAAAAGCTTTCAAAAAATTTTCAAATTTATTTATTCGTTTAGTTTTTCATATACTGTACTACTGTACTCATATATTTTACTCTTTGTAAACCTGTAAATATAAACGAACGAAAAATTAGATCTCACATTATGTCACATATATAATTCATACAAATTAGATTAGGCTTCTTCATTAAAAAATAATAATTACATTTTAATTACACGAAGTGCAGAAACAACCATTTATGCTTTAAAGTTTAAACTTTGACTAGATATTCGCTCAAAACTGGATTAGGAACGGATTAGAAGGGCATCGATTACCAACACATGTAAAACAGAAAATTTAGTTCCGAAGATTCTCGTTAAAACGAAATTTTTGTTCGAACCAATTTTGTTCTTGGTTCCAGCAGTTTCTCCATATAGGAGTAATGCTATGACAATCCCGTTAGAGCAAAATTAATTCAATAGGCTGTAATCGCAGTATAACAAAGTTTCAAGCCTGATTCAGTAGACGGGCCATGGAGATACTTTGACAGTTGGCAGAAAATTAGAAAAATCAAACTTGTGCAGCATCACTTAAAAATAGAGCAAAGCTCTTTGTTTAGAGAAAACATAGAATCAAATAAATACACATGGTACATTTCTTGGAAATCCTTCAGTTCTGCCTGAGAATGTACGACTTTCTTTCAAATGAACTCAATGTTGAAATGAATATTCGTCTAATTCAACAAACAATGAGGAGGTATGAATGAATAAGCTTATCTGGAAGGAGGAATTTCTCTCATACGTTTAATTTTGCTTCATTTTATTTTCAAGATAAACAGCTTTTCAATAGAATCGAAGATTCAATGGTAGATAAGTTTATTCAGAACTGCTTCTTTTTATTTTTTTATTAAAGAGGCCTAGAAGTTATGACAGATGTTCAGCAATTATCTGTTTTACAAGCACTTCATAGTGCTTTAACACCCATTTCCCGCAAAATTTCAGTCCAATATGTGCTGAAAACCACTCAATATAACGAATTTTTCATCAGGTCCCTACTGTGAGTTCGCTGAAACGAGATTTTACTCTACGGATGGCCAAGGAAAACGGCAAAAAATTATATTATTATAAGCTCTGGATTAAGTACTGAAAATAAATTCCTCACCAAAGAGCATGATCAACAGTGGTACTGCAACCGGCATGAACGGCAGCAAGATCAGAAATGGCGTGAGAAACAAATTCGCAATCGGTCCCAAGCCGATCGTGATGCTTTGATCCGCTAAATCATTTTCAGCGCCATTCGGAATATTCGAATCTCCGCCCGTCATTCCGAAATAGGTGTTCAACAGCTTATCCAACATTTTTGACAGTGAAGATGAAATGCCTACTGCGAAACCCGGGATAAATACACAAACCCAAGACACTTGAAGATAATACCTGAAAAATGTAAATTAGAAGACATCACAAGGGATTAGAAGGTACGGTAGTGTACGGTAGAAAAACTCTCTTTTCAGCTCCTGAAAAATAAAGAAATATTTAAAATACTGAAGCAGAGTCGTCGAAGATCCGAGGATTATATGAAGCACAAGGTTTATCCGTTTAGTGTTCGTTAAAATGCAGGTCCTTTAGTACATTACTGTAATTAAGTTTGAGAGTCAGAATCATCAAAAACATTCTGATGTGGTAGTTAGCAAGACTTTAAGTAACCCAGTGCTTATTTTGAGGGTTTTATTCAGCCATAAATCTGACTGAGACACCTCCTTGCTCACAGGTTGACAATTTAGAGCTGTTCAAACATAGCTAAAAGCAACGGCGAAAATTTAAGAAAATTCGCAAAATTTAAAGAATGATATTCAGACTAAAATGAAGAATACTTTCTAGCTATTTTAATTTATGGGAGAACTTTAACTAATTTCAAAGTTGTATGAAACGCTGTATGCTTGAAATTAAAAAAGTAACTCTTTGCAAAAAGAAGGGCGCACTACTTAGATTTCATTGGTACACCAATCGGTTGATTATACAAATTTTGGTGCAAAAATTAGGTCCAGTTTCATGTATCAGACGCAAGAAGCCACATGTTGACAAAAAGGATTAAAATAAAAAACTACCTCAGATATTTTTTCTTGGGAATGTCACAAGCCCGACTCGGATCTTCATCCGTCGGAACCTCGAGACTAAATGCTATTAAATCCCGCACAACCACAGGGTTTAACACAATTTGTTTCTTCGGAAGTCGACGCTTGACCTCAAGAGGTTGAAGGGTTTTTAGTTCACCGACTTTTCGGAGAAAATTTGTGCCTCAATCTATTCAATGCCCTGAAACAAAAGCAGTTGCTGTACAGCTTTAGTTTTCACCA